GCCCCATGTTTGTTTCCACAGGGCTCTGTGCTGTAATTGGACACTGCAGATCAGCAAGTCCCGGCCATAAATCATTGGCCGTGACCTGCTGCCAAATTTGTGCTGTAGCAAATCACAGCACAGGTGGGGGGGCGCACGCATGCACCCTATATCCAAAACCTGTACAACCACAGAACAGTCCGCAAGCAGTTAATCACCACTGGGTTTTGGGAAAACACACCCTTTTTTTCCTTTACTAAATTTAGACCAAAATATATCCTGCTATATTTCTTTGGTAAAAATAACCCAAACAAATGTACATTATTTACTCTGTGTGAAAGCTATAAAGTCTACAAACTATGGTGTGTGTGTGTGTATATTGATCAGTCCTAATGTTCTGACTGTCTGTCTATCTCATTTGCCCAAAAGTGGCAGGACACTACAAATACCCCCAAACTAACCTATTTTTTAGGAAAGTTTTTAGTAAGAGGCATGTGATTTTTTTTTTTTTTTTTACAAGCTTTTGGAAAATTCATTTTTTTTTTTTCTTTTTACATACTGTCACTAGAGCAGTGCAGCATCCTCATATGACTGGTGCAGCAGTGATCAGGGACACTGTTTACATACTGTGTCCGCAACTGTACAGAGTCACCAAACTGACACTGTACTGCTTTGGGAAGGTGATCAGGTTTTGTTTTCACACTAGAATTGCTTTTTACAGTGATGATCATGGTTATAAGCAATCCTTTTTATGAATGGCATCCATTCATGTGTCATTGTGTACAACTGTGATAGCTGTGATTGGCCACAGCTATCACATGGTAGAGGTGCACCGTGTTTGGACCCTATACCAAGTGATCACTATGTCTAATCACAGGGATCACAATATTACACAACAAATAGTTATCAATGACAGCCATCGTGTCCAACTGACATGGGATCACTGTGATTGGTTATTATCCTGTTGGAGGACCAAAGATTTGCAATTAAGATGGAGCTACCAGGCAGTATGTGTTTTCCTTGTTTCCTTTGGACCTCATCTGTCCAAAGGAAAAAACGTATTTCAGGCCTGAAGATTACACAAACTCCCCAAACATTATATATTTTCTGAAATCAGACACCCAATAGAATAAAATAGTGGTAGATCCAATTTTTTTATGTCGCACAATATTACCGCAAAGATCATGGAAATGCAAAATTTCAGTAAAAAACACACTAAAGTGAATTTTAGGGCAAATTAACTCAAATTACCCAGATTTTTGGTAAAATATAAAAGATGAGGATGTGCTGAGTAAGTATATACCCAACATGCCAAACCTTAGATTTGTGTGAACCTATGAAATGGTGACAAACTTCAGTACCCTATATTTTCTATAGGCGACGCTTCAAAAGCCCCTATAGGTCATCAGTTTAGTGTTTTATAGAGGAGGTCTTGTGCTAGAATTATTGCTCTCACACCTGTGTGCGGGGCAATATCTAACGTGTATCACAATCAACATTTTCATGCATAGCCGCCCCATGTGCATTTACGTTTGTACGTGTGTGTGTGTATATATATATATATATATATATATATATATATATATATATATATATATATGTGTGGGGAGCTCAATTTTTTGGGGTGGATGTAATGTGCTTGGGCGTAACTTTATTTTTAATATTTTATAAATATGTGGGGGGGGGCATCGGTACATGGGGGCTGTGGAAGTAAGAGTAGCAGCGCAGCTGCCTGACTGCTTCCACCTGACAAACAGGAGTCTGCCTGTCAATATTATACACAGTCCTGTGTGCCTGTTGCACAGGGAGTAAAACATGCTGAGTTTTTTTTTACTGATCTGAAATGAAATGCATTGTTGTCTATGGGATATTGCACACAGCTAAGTAAAGATCAGTAATACAGCGTTAAGTACAGAGAAGCAAAACAAAAATAGAAAACTTTTCACTTGAGTGCAGTAATTTCATCCCGGCAGATTTATAAACCACAGCGCATGCCACATTGATGTACATTAAATTATGAGTTCATTTTCACTTTTAGCTTTTTGGGCTGAAGAGTCAATATCGCCTTTCTCTGGTGAGGTTTGTTCTTGGATATTTCCAGGGTTCCTTCACAATTAACCGAATCCACAGCTGTTATGTAAAAAGGGTCAGCCTACCGATGGATCTCACTCGCCAAAGGTTATGAAACAAGGGAAAGAAGAGTTCTGATAGTGTAGTATTGTTAATCCATTTTAATAAATGCAATAAAATTACATGCACATTTTGTTATAAAACAGTTTTCAGTATATATATATTACAGAGGTGCGGTATCCTAAAATGGCTCTGGAGCGCCGCTGGTTTGCAAGGATGCCCTGTAGGAGGGGCGAAACGTTTTGTTGCGATTTCCGGTTCTGGTTTGTATGAGTGGTGTCACATCTGGTGAGTGATGCGCACACAAACCAGCGGCGCTCCAGAGCCATTTTAGGATACCGCACCACTGTAAAAAATAATAAAAAATTATATATATATTATACTGCAAACTGTATCAGAACAAAATGTGAGTGTAATTTTGTTGAATTTCTTAAAATGGATTAACAATACTACACTAAGAACTTTTCTCCTTTCCCTTGGTTCATAACTTTTGGTGAGTGGGATCCATTGGTTATATTTAGTAATTTTACTCCAGTATTTATTCCTTTTAGGCCCCTTGTACACAAGCCTGATAATTTACTGATGTTTACTCAAAAACTTGTGACACCCATGCCACAATACTGGCAATGAAGAAGAATTTTACTTGTCTATACTATCTATCTATCCGCTTACACACCTTTACTTACCTCAGGTCTTTACACACAGTTTTTTGCCCCTTACACACTGGCGTCACAAATTCCTGAGTAATCATCAGTAAATTATGATGCCCATGTGCAAGAGGCCTTAACCCTTACCCGCCTAACAATCGGGACCCAGATCCCAGTCCTGGGTCACCTGATCGCTATGATAGCCTCTGATTGGCTATCGCAGTGATCAGTCACTGTGAAGCCTACCCCTATGTTTTCTCTCTTTTGCTCTCTGAATGGAGGCAAGAGATGCATTGTATCCCCCTCTCCTTGCAGAGAGAAAAATAAACATAACTGTGTGTATAAAAATAAATAAAAAATACGTAGATCAAGGTTTGATCTAGGTCAGGGTTAGGGTTTGGGTCAAGTAAGGGTCAAAGGTCAGAGTCAGTATATTTTTGAGCAGGGTTTTTTTTTGTTTTTTTTTTAAAATCATGTCAGTGTGTTTTTAGGTAGGGTAAAAAAAGCAAAATGTGCACTATTGCTTCTGGGCTTGTACTACATACCACAAGGTTATGGTAGTAGCAAAAAATATACAGCTAAATAAAAAAAAAAAAAAATTTTTTTCCTGTTTTGGGCCAGTTTTCCTTTTGATAATAAAAAAACTTCAGGTGATATCCATTATCATTTGCTACCAAATGAAAGCACAATTTTTCCTGAAAAAAATGCACGGTGTAATCCTCCTAGATACACAAAGTAGTTGTGATGATACACTATATTGCCAAAAGTATTGGGACGCCTGCCTTTTACATACACGTGAACTTTAATGGCATCCCAGTCTTAGTTCATAGGGTTCAAAAGTGAGTTGGCCCACCCTTTGCAGCTATAACAGCTTCAACTCTTCTGAAAAGGCTGTCCAAAAGGTTTAGGAGTGTGTCTTTGAGAATGTTTGACCATTCTTCCAGAAATGCATTTGTGACGACAGGCTCTGATGGCAGACAAGAAGGCCTGGCTTGCAGTCTCTGCTCTGATTCATACCAAAGGTGTTCTATCAAGTTGAGGTCAGGACTCTGTGCAGGCCAGTCAAGTTCCTCACCCCAAACTCGCTCGTCCATGTCTTTATGGGCCTTGCTTTTTGCATTGGTGCGCAGTTATGTTAGAACAGGAAGGGGCCATCCCCAAGCTGTTCCCACAAAGTTGGGAGCATGAAATTGTCCAAAATGTCTTGGTATGCTGATGCCTTATGAGTTCCCTTCACTAAAACTAGGCAGCCAAGCCCAGCCCCTGAAAAACAACCCCATACCATAATCCCCCTTCCACCAAACTTTACACTTGGCACAATGCAGTCAGACAAGTACCGTTCTCCTGGCAACTGCCAAACCCAGACACGTCCATCGGATTGCCAGACAGAGAAGTGAGATTCATCACTCCAGAGAACTCCTCTCCACTGCTCTATAGTCCAGGGGCAGCGTGCTTTCATCACTGCATCCGACACTTTCTATTGTACTTGGTGGTGTAAGGCTTGGATGCAGCTGCTTGGCCATGGAAACCCATTCCATAAAGCTCTCTATGCACTGTTGTGGTAATCTGAAGGCCACACAAAGTTTGGAGGTCTTTAGCTATTGACTCTACAGACAGTTGCCGACTTCTGTGTGCTTCAGTATGCACTGACCCCGCTCTTTCATCTTACGTGGCCTACCATTTCGTATTTAGTATAACATTGTTATAGTACCACTAACAGTTTACTGTGGAATATTTAGTAGCAAGGATATTTCACAGATGGACTTATTGCACAGGTGACAACCTATCGTGGTACCACGCTTGAATCTCACTCACTGAGCTCCTGAGAGTGACCCATTGTTTCACAAATGTTTGTAGAAGCAGTCTGCATGCCTAGGTGCTTGATTTTATACACCTGTGGCCATGGAGGTTATTGGAACACCTGAATCCAGTGATTTGGAGGGGTGCCCCAATACTTTTGGCAATGTATTGTATGTACGATTTGCATTAACATGTCGAAATTGCAAAATTGTGCTAAGACATTAACATTTGTGTTACCCTTAGGCAAGAAGGGGTTAATGTTATCCTTAAATGTTACCAGCAAATTTATCCACAGCTGTATTTTGGAGAACAAAACACATGTATTGTACATTCGTGAGGTACATCTCAATTTTTAGCACATACAGATGAATCTGTGAGGAATGTTGTGTCATCTAGTGTCTAACTTTCTGGGCTTCCCTTTTTTTTTTTTTTTTTTATATATAGAGTGTATGTAGCAGACTCACTTCTTGCTGGAGAAGGTCTCTTTGCTAAAATAGCTGTTGGCTCCAATACTGTGATGTCCTTTTACAATGGTGTTCGAATTACACATCAAGAGGTAGGCGCTCCCTGTTTAATGGTTTGGTTCATTTGTATTTATTTATTTAAAACGAGTATTTATTATACGCTAACAATTTATGCTACACTTTCAAAAGAGATTGTGTTTTTACATCACTTCCTCTCCTTGAGGTTCTTACAATCTAGTATCTATCTCACATGCAAACGCACACATACTTTGAACAAATTGGACGAGGGCCAGTTATCCTAACAGCATGTCTTTTAAGTGTGGGAGGAAACAGAAGTACCTGCAGGAAACCCATGCATACTCCATGCAGATAGTGTCATGTTTCGAATTTAAATGGAGGACCCTATAGCTGCAAGGCAGAAGTGCTAACTATTAATCCACTGTGCCGACCATTATTACTATCCTTGTTAGAGTGACTGCATATTACTTGTGGCATATTGTGTTAGTAATCACGAAAGGGAGGTGCACAGTTTTTTTTTTTTTTTTTTTTTTTTTTAATTTATTTTTCCTCATAATTAAAAGGCTGTGTTAACATCTCTGTTTTGCTGAAGTGTGCTCCAAAATAAATTCTGTTTTCTGTATTTTGGTGCGGTTTCCAACAAATTCACCTTTCATAATAATAATTAGTTTAAAACCGCTAAAAAACAGAGTACTACAAATGCACCACATTTAAAATTCAGCTAACTGTAGCATGAACCTCCAAAACTAGAATAACGATTTTCATGAAAATATCCCTTTCTAAATGGGGATAAAGATTTTTAAAAAGTAAATGCACATGTAATGAAATGGTATGAGGTTTCTATACATTTTTCCTCTATTCAAAACTAAAAAAACACATTCATTATGTTTACTTTTTTTGTCACGTAAATGTGAAATAATAATTATGAATAGGTTGACTTTTCACCTTGAGGCCTGACTCTTAAAGAAATATCTAAACTCTTTCTGGCTTTATCACTAGGTCGATAGCAGAGATTGGTCTTTGAATGGCAATACAATTTCTTTAGATGAAGAAACTGTAATTGATGTACCAGAACCCTTCAATACGATTACTAAATATTGTGCCTCTCTAGGACACAAAGCCAACCACTCCTTCTCCCCCCAACTGTATGTATGACCTGTAAGTATTGTCTCATTCACTCTGTGAATGGCCTTGTTGCCACCTTTCTCCCCATATTCTTTAAAATCATAGGAGCCACACAGAAGATTGTCAGCCGAACCTATTAGATGCAGCCACTGTTTGGGTATTCTAACAGCCACCACTGGCATCTGTCAGAATACAATGGCTGCAGTGGGAGACTTGTCTTGTAGGCTTACAAAATCTGTGTGGCTAGCTTAAGGCATATTTCTTTTCCTAGCAAAACACAGATGTGCAAATATTTAGAGCTATGTGGTTTGGAACAGTAAAAATATGACAGAATATACAAACTATGTGTTAGTTTTGCTTCTATGTTATTTCCTCTGCTTATTTTGCCAATGTGTCTTCTATGGGGCCCTGGGGACAGTGGAGAGCTCAGTCTATTTCTAAAAAAGAAAGGTAAAATTGCTGGCTCAGGGAGTTAGAAGTGCAGATCTTTCCATGCATTGATTGCACACTGATCCACTCAACCCGGCTTAGTTCCAGCTGTCCACAAGGAAGGAGCACCTATCCTCTGGTACACAGCATAGGCTCAGTACAACAGTAACCCATAAAAAAGTGAAATCTCCAAGCAGCTTTGCCTGCATCTATGGTCCAGTGGTACAACTTGTAAGTAAAACTGTCATCAGTGTTAAAGGAGTTCCTATTGTCACAGCAAAAACTTTCATTTTATAGCATCACCATTGTAATAGCACTACGAATTAGTTAGTTTTGACAATCTAATATAAGCATATTGAAAAGTTTTCTTTCATGTTATGATTGCTGTCTGTCAGAAATGACAGTTTGAACTGGGAGAACCATCTGTCCTCCCAACTCCAACAGAATGCACCCAAAGAGACAAATGCTAAACAGATACAGACACTGTAAGAGAATTCATTTTCACAGACTTGTTTCAGCCAAATAATGAAATTCTATATACTTTTCACTACAATAGCATAAAGTTAGTTGGATCTAGCCATGCCCTGCCGATATTGTGTGCATAGCACGGTGTCCTTTCTTGCCTAAGTATGCAAAGTAAGCAAGCAATACAGAGGTTTAAGTAGTGACTTCACTGTAGTGCTGCCTTTATCTAAATCTTGGCTCTGTATTACGTGTGAAATTGACTTGCATCATAGCTGCTTGGGCTGCGGGTAAAGGAGGAAACCTCTATAATGGGACCTCCAAGAATTTTTAACTACACAAGGTCACCGGTCACACTGTCGGGATTTGTGTGCAATTTCAGGTGCAATTTCTGAAGACTATTGCTACTGAAGATTTTCAACAATTTCTTGCAATTTGAAGTGTGTTTTCCATTGTATTCTATGTATGTGAAATCACAACAAAACTGCAGAAAAAGCAATGCAAGAACTACTTTAAAAATTGCCCTGCAGCAAATTGCAAATGTTAAGACCCTGACATTTCACATTCATTAGATGCGCCTGAAATCGCATCTGTATGACCGGTCACTAAGTGTTTAATGCATGCCAAGATCCACGTAAATGCTGATCCATTTTTAAAGGCCTAACCCTTAAAAGTATCAGGTTGCTTTCACAGGAATAGGCTAATTGTTTGTTTTTTTTTTTTAGGTTTGTCCACCCAAGATTTGGACCCATTAAGTGTATTCGAACCATTGCAGCTGTGGAGAAGGATGAAGAACTTACTGTGGCCTATGGCTACGACCACAATGCTACAGGGAAAAATGTTCCTGAGGCACCAGAATGGTACCAGCAGCAGTTGAAGGCATTTCAGGTGTCTCAGCAGAATTGATCAGCAGCACCATTTCACCTTTTTTCTGTGCTTTGGGTAACTGGATCTATGCATAATGTTTCTACTGAAGATTTTTGAATATTCAGAGACTGCTGAACATCAGTGCAGAGCTAACTCCATCTTAGAATTTTTATAGCTGGTAGATTTTCCTTGTAGTTATTAAACAATTAGCATTGTGGCTATGTTGTATCAAACAGGAAACTTCTATTTAACAAGTAGGGAAATTAAAGTGATCAAGTAGATTTTTTTTTTTTTTTTTTTTCTTTTCAATTTCTCATTTTATTAAGCGCCAAACAAGTATAAGGAGACGAGCCAAGTTGGCTGATTTTCCTTTTAAAATGTATACATAGTAGGGCCCAAAATAGACCTTTCTGTGTACATGCCTTTGTGTTGGTTACAAGGTAACTAGACTTTGATGTTGTGCAATATTCTATAACTTTTTCTGTTCTTAGAATTGACATACCATAGCTAGCTATAATTTTGATCCAGGTTGCTCTTGGTTTATTTTAAGGCAGTAATAATCCTATCAATAACATGGAATCCATTTTAAATGCAGCACTGAGAGATTCTAAACCTATTTTGGAGCTGATTTATATAAGCAGTGGCTGTTGCCTATACCTATCAGTTGGATTCCGTGTTTCTTTTTTCCCAGGTTAGGGAAGCACTGAAATTTTGTTATATATTTGTGGATGTCAAGCTGCTGTTATACAAAGTGTTGAGAATAGTTAAAGCCTGGAGAGCCCAGCATTTATTACCTCTGTTTTCCAGGATGTCCTCACTGGTCTGTCACCTAGTGTGTAACTGAATGTTGTTGCATGTAAACATGATCTCACTATGTGGTCTGTATATGCAGTTGTTTCATATATACACTGCTCAAAAAAATTATAGGAACACTTTGAAAATACATTAGATCTCAATGGGAAAAAATATGCTGGATATCTATACTGATATGGACTGGGCAATGTGTTGGAAACGTAAGGATGCCTCATAGTTTGATAGAAATGAAATTTATCAACCTACAAAGGACTGAATTCAAAGACACCCCAAAAATCAAATTGAAAAAATAATGCAACAGGCCAATCCATTTTTCTGAAATTTCATTGCAACAACTCGACATGGTACTTAGTAGTTTGTATGGCCCCCATGTGCTTGTATGCATGCCTGACTATGTTGGACCATGCTTCTAATGAGATGACGGATGATGTGTCCTGGGGTATTTCCTCCCAGATCTGAACTAGGGCATCACTGAGCTCCTGGACAGTCTGAAGTGCAGCCTGGCAGCGTCGAATGGACCGAAACATGATATCCCAGAGGTGTTCTATTGGATTTAGGTCAGGCGAGCATGGTGGTCATTCAATGGTATCAATTCCTTCATCCTCCAGGAACTGTCTGCATACTCTCGCCACATGAGGCCGGGCATTGTCATGCACCAGGAGGAACCCAGGATCCACTGCACCAGCGTAGGGTCCGACAATGGGTCCAAGGATTTCATTCTGATACCTAATAGCAGTCAGTGGGCCATTGTCTAGCCTGTAGAGGTCTGTGCGTTCCTCCATGGATAGGCCTCTCCAGACCATCACTGACCCACCACCAAAACGGTCGTGCTGAACAATGTAACAGGCAGCATAACGTTCTCAGCAGCTTCTCCAGACCCTTTCACGACTGTCACGTGCTCAGGGTGACCTGTTCTCATCTGTGAAAAGCACAGAGCACCAGTGGTGGACCTGCCAATTCAGTTGTTCAGCGACAAATGCCAATCAAGCTCTATGGTGCCAGGCAGTAAGCACAGGGTCCACTAGAGGAAGACAGGCCCTCAGGCCACCTTCATGAAGCCTGTTTCTGATTGTTTGGTCAGAGACATTCACACCAGTGGCCTGCTCGAGGTCATTTTGTAGGGCTCTGGCAGTGCTCATCCTGTTCCTTCTTGAACAAAGGCACAGATACTGGTCATGCTGATGGGTTAAGGACCTTTTTACTGCCCTGTCCAGCTCTCCTAGAGTAACTGCCTGTGTCCTGGAATGTCCTCCATGCTCTTGAGACTGTGCTGGGAGACACAGCAAACCTTCTGGGAATGGCACATATTGATGTGCCATCCTGGAGGAGTTGAACTGCCTGTGCAATCTCTGTAGGGTCCAGGTATCTTCTCATGCTACCAGAAGTGACACTGACCCTAGCCAAATGTAAACCTAGTGAAAAACAGTCAGAAAAGATGAGTAGGGAAAAATGTCATCGACCTCCACCTGTAAAACCATTACTGTTTTGGGGGTCATCATATTGTTGCCCATCTAGTGCACCTGTTGTTAATCAGTGTCAACTACTTTGGTGTTAATGAAATTAACAACTCCCTCTGCTACTTAATTGACCAGATCCATTTCCCAGGAGTTTAATTGACTTGATTCTATACTCTGATTAAAAAGTGTTCCTTTCATTTTTTTTTGAGCAGTGTAGTTGCATAGTCATTGTTGAGAGCCAGAAGCCTAGCTAGCATAAGCAAAGCCTTTATTATTGCCTCAATACACTACAAGATGCCATTTCACAAAAATTTAAGCAATGATGGGGTCTCCAGACAGTTTTATTGCTTACAAGCCTTGTAGATACTGAATACTACTTGTGTTTGCTAGTAAGCATTCTAAGAAGTCATGAGGGTCTGCAAAGAAAAGCCGACCCAGCTGAAGAAGAAAGAACTGTCACTGTTTCTCCACAGACAGGAGCAGCAATCTTGCCTTACTGCTTCTACCTATTAAAGTAAATGGAGAAATGTTGATGCTGTTATGAAGCTATATTATGGCATTCTGAAAGGATATTTAGGTGTTTTTTAGGCATTGTAGGCTGGCATTCATTTTGAGTACGGCCTGTGTAGTTATGTTTATGTAAAGTAGAAGATGGCACATACATTAATCTGGGAATTTTGGTTTAGCATTGTTCACCCTGGCACATTGGTGTATTGCAATATTCTGTAGAAATGTTTTTGTATGCTGTTGGACAGCTGTTATTCTGATGTTATGTGTAGCTAGCAATACTGAAAGGTTAGAAATGGAGAATATAGTGTAACACTGGACATGTCTTGTATTTTCAAGTCATTAAGTAAAGTGGGACAGAATCCAAGAATAATACATTATATACATTTTACAATGAAACCTGCTGCTCCTACTATCTGAATTGAAGTAATGGCTGTAAAGTAATAATCCTCAGTCCAGGGAAAACACAAGCCAGGTATTCACATTGAAAGGGCCAGTAAACCTAAAATCTAGTTTAAATGCACAATACTTTGGTTAAAGGTGTGGCATATAACATGTAATTGGCAATGTATAGATAAAAGTATAGATGTTTCAGAACAGAAATGAAGACTGTAATAACGTTTTTATGGAGAGATTTTATGATGTCCCACACATATTTACACTGTTGCCTGTCTCTAGCACAGCTGCTCATATTGTACATGAGATCAAAATGTCTGATTACCTCATTTATGCTGCCAAAATTAGTATGTGCTGTAAATTGCCCCCAGCATTGTTCCTGTTTCTTCTTGCTGGAGGCTGGCATTTTGCTGAATCCCAGAGCCCCTGAGCAGCAGTAAATTTTTAGGTTGTCAGCAGATCGGTCTCTACATTTATGGCACAGTGCCAAACAATAAAGAGCAACTGAGCATGTGCAGAGCAGGGTGAGACACTGTTACTGAATTTTAAACATTATTATTGACACCTATTTTTAATGGTATACTGTACATGGTTATATATGCAAAAGCGGCCTGTATGAAGTGATCTAGCATTACCTAATTTTCTGACTAATGTTCCTCTTTAAAGCAAGGTGTCCCCAGGTTGCTTGTCTGCACTTCTCTCTTCCTGCTCTCCCAGCACTCATCAAAGTGCAGCCAAAATCTTTTTTTTTTTTTTTTTTTTTTTAAGATTGTTAGACTGGGCACCACAGTTGGTCTTATTTATTTCTCTGTTACAGTGAGGAAGTGTTTCCTTCGCTTGCAACCCTGAGATATGGGAAGCAAATGAGATTAGATCTAAAACTGACAGAAATCCCAACTTTTAAGAGCTGTCACCAGACCAGCTTCCTGTTTGGGATAAAATCATTTTTCAACAGGGACATAAATAGAACCTAAATTTACTGAAAGCACAAAAATTAAACTGCACTTGACTTTACATCAAAATGTGTTTACAGTCCCAAATAGCTCTGTGCACAACTTGGCACTTTACATTGATATTTAAAAACTGTATTAATAATACTTCTAAAACTGAATCCAGTCTGTAGTAAAAATCAGTATGTTGTGCCCTTCTCCACATAAGAGTTAAATGCTTGCAAGAATTACGCTTTCCTCGTTCTTGCAGGCTTCTTCCTCATTGTACAACTAGTCCCATTAAGCTGCTACTCTTTGCCATTTGTGTAGTCATAGCCTCACCAGTGTCATCATGTACATACAAAATATGAGGTAGCCAGGGCCTCTGTGCTGAAGGAGCTTTGCTCCCCTGCTATCGGGAAGGGGGGTGCATAACACACAGCACCATATACTGATTTTTGTTTTTTTTATGTTTAACTTTAAAGCTATTTGTGTTTTTAGGTTTACTGGACCTTAAAGAAAAAAAAAAGGTGCACTGTTCAACTTTGCATTTCATCATCTCTTCATATAGAGGTAGAATAACAATTTTAATGTATTCTATAACATGTTTCTATTGCCTGTTTACAGTTTTTATGCAGCCTTCAAGCTGGCATAGTATGTTACATATGAAGAGGGCAGGGATTCATAATTTTCATAAGGAATGTGTTCTTTACACATTAGCCTTACACTGTTTACAGCTGCTAATTTTCTGCTTCACAGTCTCAGGTCAGAACATACCAACAGTGGTCTTCTTACAATATTGTGGCTTTAAGCTCTGTACTGTAAGAGAACCTGTCGTAAGCTTGCAAGTACAGGAGGGACGAATAGCAAAAATTTGCATTTCAAGCAGGTTTACGCAGTTCTCAAAACTTTTACATGCTGGGATTCACATACCATA